AAGATGTCGATTTAATTGAATTGTATGACGTCATGATGACATCATGCTGGTGTCATTGAGCACTCCCAAGGGCTCTAGGTGGTTTTTATAAAAAAAAAAAAAGGCTAAAGGGTCAAATAGGCCCTTGAACTGACTTAAAGTGTTCAATTAGCCCCTTATATAGGAGGTTCTGCCCGGACGTCGCTAATTGGGGCGGTTACCGGTGAAATTTTCTGATGAAATTTTTTGAGAATCTTCTTCATTAAGTCTTGTTTACCCATACCAAATTTCAGCTAAAAATTCAACCGGGAAGGCAGTCAAATGATTTTCCAAAATGTACTGTGCTGTTTAACTTCGCAGTTATCTTCAAAAAATCATTTGACTACCTTCCCGGTTGAATTTTTAGCTGAAATTTAGTATGAGTAAACTAGACTTAATGAAGAAGATGCTCAAAGAATTTCAGCAAAAAACTCCACCAGGAACCGCCCCAATTGGCGAAGGCCGAGCAGAACCTCCTATATAAGGGGCTAATTGAACACTTTAAGTCAGTTCAGGGGCCTATTTGACCCTTTAGCCAAAAAAAACGTTAGATCCAACAGCTGTGATGATTTGGACACTGTTTGAACGGGGGAAAAATTGATCCAACGGCTGAAATTGAAATCCAACAGTTAAAGTAATTTATTTTATTTTCTCATTATTTTTAATAAATATTTTGACCGAAATTCCTATATAAACACCTCATTTCTTCCTATTTTAATCACACATCTCTCATCTATCTCATTCTTCATCATATGATAGCATTTTCTTTACTATCTAAATTTTTGTGATGTCTTCATCAAGAAGAGGTCCTAATTGGAGTGTTATTGAGGATGTTGCTCTATGCAACGCTTGGGTATCTATATCCGAAGATGGTGCCATTGGCATAAATCAACCTGGGGAGAGTTTTTGGGGCCGAATTCACGTATCATTTTCACAAAAATGTAACGTTCCAATGTGAAAAGAGAATCCAATGTGATTTAAAAAGATACAACAAGTTGAGAAGGGAATCCAATGTGTTATGGATAGACACAAAGTTGAGAAGAGAATCCAATGCTCCAATGTGTTTGAAATAACTCAGCAAAAAACGTAAAAAAAAAAAGAATTAATGAAATTTAGTTTTTTTTACATTGAGATGTGTCTTTTTTATTTAATAATTAATCAGAGAAAAAATTAAAAGGAAAACATTACTTATAATAATTTAATTAATGTTTTACTAAATTGATATGTAAAAAAATTTGCAGAGTGTATTTTATAGACGGTGCTGGAATGCAGAGAATAAGAGTCAAAACACTATTTTCATATCGACGGAGTCCATTTTTGACATTTAGACTCTTGCACCACTCCAAATGGTCTTAGATTTAGCTAGGGAACCTTGTTTTGAATTACAATAATTGAAGTGTTTCACTAGACTTGCCCCCACTCCAGTTTAAACATTACAAGCTTCGCCCCCCCCCCCCCCCCCCCCCCCGAAAAAATACTTCTACCTTCGGTTAAAGCACACACGATACATTTTTACTTCATATATAGATGCTACATCTAAATGATATGATGATTAAATATTCCATGTACAACTGGTACAAGGTGTATATTTCAGTATTCATAAAGGCGAGAGCAAGTATATTTACCTATTTCTTTTAGAAAGGGATTGAATGGTCAACTTAGTTAGGATGTATTTATAGTTTACAAGTTTTACACTATTCACACGTTTTATTTTGATCATATTTTTCTAACCTGGGGAGAGTTTGGCCGCCTTCCGGGTGGAATTTTTCGATGAAATTTTTATGACATGTTCTTCATCAAGTCTAGTTTATCCACAAAATATTTCAGCCAAAAATTCATTCGCGAAGGTCGTTAAACGATTTTTGCAACTTAACTGGTCCGGAAAATACATATTCCGGACCAGTTAACTTGCAAAAATCATTTGACGACCTTCCCGATTGAGTTTTTGGCTGAATTTGTTTGTGGATAAACTAGACTTGATGGAGAACATGCCATAAAAATTTCATCAAAAAATGTCACCAGGAAGGCGGCCAAACGCCACCGTCCGGACGGCGGTTCCTGTCCAGAATTCCGGACATGAATAAAATTCATATGTATGATAGTATAAAGTATAGTTCAGTTTATCTTAATGTGAAGTTACAAAGTACTCATCAACTTTTTATAATATTTATTAATGTGTAATTAAATATAATTATGCATCGACAAATATAAAAGCCAAACTGTTACAATTAAAAAACAACATATATACATTTACAGATAGAAACTAGTCTTATCGATAACAAAGTTAACTGAATTATCATAGTGGGATTTACAATAATATATGCATTATCAACTCGAATCAAATCAGTTTCTTTTATTAAGCAAAAAAAAAAACGCTATAATTAAGATTTAAGAGACAAAGTGAATTCATTCATTTTTATATCGCGTGCAGGCAGTATCCTGTGATTCCAATCCTAACAGTAAAAACAGACTCCAACCCTTCCCGCTCTTAAGCATAAGCACTGCAAATTTCTCTTCAACAATCCAACGCTCTTTCTCTTCAAAAAACTCTCTCTCGAGAGAGAGAAGCAAGTCCCTCGGCGGCGGATAAACAGCCATGGCAATGTCACCTAATCTCTACGTCGGCAATCTTCACCCAGACACCACCGAGGACGACCTCAGGGATGCTTTTTCTTCGGTCGGCCCACTGGATTCCGTTCTCATCCTCCCTCTCACTCACAAACCTCTTTCTTACGCTTTTGTCAGCTTCTTTGATCTCTCTCAGGGTACGTTGCACCCCCATTTCTCGATTATCTTGCTTCTTGTTTTTGTGACTCAAATTTTTATTTTGTTAGTCTATTCTGAACCCTCAATCTCTTACAGAGTGTAGTGCTAATTTGGACTTGAGGGTTTTTTCTTACAATTTAGTTTATCTTCCTACTGCATTTGACTCCCTGTTTGTGGATTTCTATCCCAAATAATTACTACAATGGGGTAGTTTCAATTACAGGTTGGAATTATGGAATTATGGTTGTTTTACTTGTTTAGCTTACATTTTAGTTTAAATTTCTTGCCTAAACTGGCCCTCTGTTTCCAGGAATTCTTGGATAGATCTTGTACTTTCTTGCAATTAAATTGGATTTAGGTCTGCTAGTCTTAAACTCTATGGTATAGTTCTTGCTGCAATTGACCCTCTGTTTCAGGATTTTAATCACCAATTTTGTAAACTGGAGTGGATTACATTAATTTGTGTTACAATTTAATGTATATATCTTGCTGAAATTGGCCTACTGTTTCTTGGTTTTCCTTGATAAAATATTCAGTATCTTGGTTGTTTTTAATCGCCAAAATTCTTACTATGCTGGAGTAGATTCAAGATATTTGGATTTAGGTGGTTTGTGTCTTGCAACTTAATCAATATCTCCTGCCGCAATTGAAATTGACCATCTATTTCTGGCTTCTAATCCCCAAGTTGGTTTGGCATTAGTGTTATTTTTTCCTTTTGAGAATTTGAGTTTAACTAATATTTTGTTAATCAGCTTTGATGGCTGTGACACACCTGAACCATAAACACGTGAGAGGAAAGCCGATGAGGATCATGTGGTGGCAAAGATATCCAAAGATGATAACAAAATCTGGAATTGGGAATGTTTTTGTTAAAAACCTTCCTCCTTCTGTAACCAGCGATCAATTGGAGAGTAAATTTAGTGGATATGGTACTATACTCTCTTGCAAAGTTGCTGAGGATGAAAATGGGATGAGCAAATGTTTTGGCTTTGTTCAGTTTGATTCACAGCTCTCTGCCACTTCTGCTATCACTCATCTCCATGGAACTGTCTTTAAAGGGAAGACGCTGTATGTTTCCTTTATCCATTCGTTCATTCATTTATTCATTCATTTATTTTACTTTTTGTTTTCTATGATTAACTTGATTTGGGAAAAACATTGGTACTTTTCAGATATGTGTCCGCATTTAAGAAGAAAGAACTAAGAGCGTTAGATCTGTATGTGGGGAACCTAAGTGAGTCTATCAATGAAACAAAGTTGGAAGAAATATTTGGAATTTATGGAGAAGTGGTTTCAGTGAAAATCGTTCGCCGTGGTAAAATCAGCAAGGTATTTGGCTTTGTAAAGTTCTCAAGAGCAGAAAATGCGAAGGCAGCTATGGATTCGCTTCATGGGACTTCTTTTGATGGAAAGCCTATGTGTGTGGCCTTGTCATGTTCCAGGAAACCAAACAGGCCACAGCAAATTTTCACTTCACCATGCAATAACTCACTTTATGATATCCCTACTTACTCAATGCCTGTGCCTATTCAGTACTTCAATCATTACCAGCCTTCAGTCTGCCAACTCTGTGCCACACAACTCAGTACATATGTGAGTTATTTTGTCTTGTTTCCTATTTTCAGTTGTTTAGGTGACATCTGGAATGCATAAAATGGTAATATGTTTTCTTTGTCCTTGGAAAGTACAAACGAAAAAGGAAACTGTTTAGTTTTTCTTAAGAGTTGCATATACTTGTAGTTTTGCCTTGATATGATTGCAATTTTGAATAAAATGAGTTTGAATGAATATCTAGAGTTCATTTAACGATTTCGAACCAATTTTATTTTACTTTCCCCAAGTTTTCTTTCCTTCCAAATTTCTGCTCTATTCTTTCCCTAACATCTTCATGTTCCACATCTGACCTTCAGTCTTAATGGTGAAAATTGAATTAACAGGAATGGCAGTTGCCTATGAGCTCTCCTCCGGGGTATTGCTTTACCCCCCCAGAAGCTAGCTTGGGACTCGGAATATGGACATAGTTAGGACTCAAAAGGAGTTTAATAAGGACAACTGTTTTGTTTTGAAGCAAACGAGTTTGACAAGTCGGCGTTTTGGAAAGGTTAACTAGCCAAGTACTATCACTTGTTTCAGCCAAGAATCATCATTTCCACAACACTTTGTACATAACAAATTCTACTTGCCTATTAGTATATGCTGATCTGTATTCTTCGTATAAATATATTGAGGCTAAAACGCTGATATAGTTAAAGACAAGTTAAGAATATATATAAATTTGTTTTCAAAAGTTCAAACAGGACATACTGATACATATCATGAATTTAAGATTAAAAAGTATGGCAGACATGTGATCTTTTATATGAATAAAAAACAAACGTAAGCGTAAATAAAAGCACTAGGTAAAAGTGGTAGCTTTAACTTGAAGTCTTGAATGCACACAAAGTAGGACAACTCAACCAATGAGTTCAATGCCTTGGGTGATCAGTGCGTCTGCCAAGACCTGATTGGCGGCCTCAGAAGGATGGACACTGTCCCAAAACACGTATTGGGTTGCGTTGCTGCAAGTCCCCGGTGACTTGGAGTTGCACAACAACACTGAGGTCTCCACTGTGCCTGTCCCGCAGCACCCTCTCGCGGCTTCAATAAAACCTGTTTGGTGACAACAAAAAAGTCTCTTAGCCCTTTGCCCACCTTTGGCAGGCATTTTATTAACCTAAACAACTAAAATTTACATATACAAAAAGCATGACACATAAAATAGGATAGAGCAAGAGGGAGTATCAAGTATTATACTAAGCTTCCGTTATTTTTTATTTGGTCCAGTAAGTTTTCACAGTTGGAAGAGTAAAATAATAAGGGTGGTTATGTATCTTTATTCTCTAATATGGTAGAACTTGTTCAATTAGGATACTGGACTACTGTAGAAAAAACTTCCAAAAAGAGAAATGTGAAGCAAATAAAAAGGCAGAGTATGTCAAAGAAATTAGCTAAAGAAGTAGATTTAGTTGATCAAAGAATGGTAACTACTAGTCTACTACAATGAAGTATTATTTAACTAATTCCAAAAATATGTTTATATATATATATATATTTAGAGAAGTCAGCAGATTAAGCCATTCTATTACAATTTCAGCACATTCCGCCATTTTAGACATCACCAAACAAGTCCTAAGTTTCTTGAAAAAAGAGACAAAGTCTTGTGCATACCGGCACTTGAAGGGGATTTGACTAGATCGTAGAGGGGTTTGTAGATGTCGAAGACAACGAGCTTGAGCCCAGGAAGGCTCTTCTTAAGTTGTGTTGCTGCTGCATTCACTTTACTGTTGAATTTCTGCGCGTTCTGGTTGATATAATCAACACATCCACTTTGATGAAATCCAAATAAGTTTCTTGCTGCTGGAAGACATCCCAATGGGGGTAGAGAAGTCACACCAATTTTCCTTGCTCCCAATCCATACAGATCCTGTTTTTAACAACCCATTAATCACTAGCTAAGAAATGAGATGCTTTAGCTTCAAACTCTACAAGACTTCGGATTTAACTCTTTAATGGGTTAGATTCAATTTTTTAACAGGTGCACAGTTGTGTCACTTGTGTGCCTAGTGATTAAGTCATCACGGCCAAGTATAATAGTACAAACTCACACGTAAGCGTTAGGACTATGCATCCTATCAGGTTGACTTTCGGGTGAAAGCCTACATCTTACTATGGTATCAAAGTCAAAATTACACAAATGAATGAACTTCAAATCTTAACTAGTAATTACGTATTCACGTGGAATTAGGCTGGAATGGTATGCATACCTGGACAAACTTGGAGAAAATATCAACTAGATAAGATCCATATTGATCAGCAGATAAGACTTTATTGATGTAAGGGTTGACATAGTAGTTCTGCAAGAAGTCACTGTTTCCAGCTCCCACAACATAGAGAGCTTCCTTAATGATGGAAGAAGCCTTGGTACTGCCTGCCACACTTGTTAGCTTACTTTGGTACTCCTTGAAATATTGCAGCTGCTGAGACAGTGGAATTGCATGCTGCATAATAATAATAACAATCATCATTTAGTGTCCCAAATTTCATTCATTAGCAGTTCTTGATTTAGAATGACCCAATAACCATAATGATGAAGCACAAAAGAAGGGTATTTAATTCAATCATTTACACTAAGGTATGCAGTTTTATCATCATAACCAGATCCAGCTGAGGCAAAATTGGCGCCAATCAGAAGGTTCTTCCCTGATGCTTGTGGGCTAAGGTATGCCGCGGGATATTTAGTGAACCCCAAAGTGTCAGCTGCATATAGAGAGGGAGCAATATGTAAGCTTATGTTTTGTCCATTCAAGATCCAAAGATATGTTTAGTTATTAAAAAATAATCTCCAAGGTGAAAACAGACTCTTTAGAACATCAATCTAAGACTCAAACAGTCGTGAATTTCAAATCTTTTTTATATATTAATTTAATAAAGAAAAGAATCTGAGTTTGAATAATTCAACTATTTGTTGTAGACTAAAAATTACCCTAGATTTAATAATTATAAGTTGTAGGCTAACATGATTATATTTTTAGAAAATAAATTACGGTTTTTTGCTAACATCAAAATTTTCTGTTTTATGTAACAAAATAATTCTTTCATGTTGTTGATCTCAAGCATGAAAATATCACTTTAGGATATCAGCTCCAGATAGGATTATGGCTTTGAAATCGTTTTTACAAAATTGATTTAGTAAAGAAGAGAACCTGAAGTTTGGTAATTCAACCATTTACCATAACTAATTAAATTGACAGTCAATCAAATTCAAACATTATAAACTTGAATTGTGATTCATATACGAATAAAAATACTCAGTATACTTTCAGCTATTCTCCATTGACTTAAAAAAACTTTAACTTACCTTCAAAAAAAACTTTAACTTTAAAATCCAACCACACCTCTGCCGATTATGTCAGCACTTGAGAGGGAATTTTAGTTTGAACTTATAGTGAAATAGTTTGACTATCAATTTCTAATATGTAAAGATGAGACTATATTAGTCTATAACCAATAAAAAATTAGATGTTATCATTCAAAATCCCTTCCCAATAAATAATTTAAATAACAAAATTAAAAATAAACAAGATTTGAAGTTATGGATTGTTCTTTTCAATCATTAGATCCTAATTGATCACTTCCATAAATCATTAGGCCTTAGTAGAATCATTGGGAAAACAAGAATTTAATCAATTACTCCTATATTACAATTATCAATTATGACCGTTGAAAACTTAGCTTCCTAACCTGTAATATCAGTGGCTAGTTTCCCATTGCAGAACCTTCCAGTGGGCTCATGATTAGCGAAATCCCTACCATAGGGGGGGTAATTGGCCTTGAAGATTGTTTGAACGTAATCATTGTTTCCAACATCAACAGAGGAGTCTCCGAAGCCCATAATGGCCGGAACCAGCGGCTGAGCACCGCCGCCGCCGACCAACGCCGCCACAGAAATCATTGCCAAGAACAGTTTCCCGAGATGACGGCAGCCCCCCATTTTCCAAGAATCGGTAAATTTCAGGATTTGGAGAGGTAAAGAAAGGTGGGTATTCCAGAAAGGAGATATTTTGGAGGGTATATAATGAAGCAGGCATTGAAGGAGGAAGGTGAAAGTTGAGAGAAGCCATTAATTGCAGTGGAAGAAGTAGTTCGGCCTTCATTAATGGCTTGATCGAAGTGTCTGATGTTCCATGTCTCTAATACAGAAATTTTCCTTACTTTATTTCTCACTTTCTTTCCTCCCAGAGCTATAGTCAACTTCGTATAATCATATGGACTGGCAGAGGGGAGTGAGGTAGCTAAAATAAGCTGGATGCCATTAATGTGGAGCTGTAAGCTCCTAAAATTCTACTTCTAGGGCAGCGCCAGTTATGCAGGAAGTTGTTGCGAGGGGAACGGAGGAAGGACATAAATAAGGAGGATAACAACGTTGACGCCCTGCCGCGGCCCCACGGTGGTTCGGGTCGGAGCATATGCAGATAGTTAATGGGTGGCATGTGGGACAGATATTCAGGGTTTGAATTCTATGAGACTTGGCATACGTTTTTGGATGGATGAAGTCATAGAATTTGCTGAAATTTTTACTTCATAGCTCATAGTTGAGACTTGGGATGGTTGATTTGGTCATCATATTGTGAAAAACTACAACTAAATATGGAGTAGTAAATGTAGGGCAATTTATTGTAATGACTAAGAGTTTAAGAGTGAACCCAAACTTGTGACAAGTTTGATTGACTAGTTGAATAAGAATGTGAAAACTTATGATTGAGATTTATTGAGAAATGAGAGAAGTAATCACAAAATTTTCATTAAGGAATTGTGATGGTTTAATTTTGTTTCATTAGTATTTCTGTCATGTTAATATATTTTTAGTCCTATATATAAAATATAGAAGTCTTATTTATAAACTCTGCATTCTTTAAGTCTTATTTAAGAAAATTCTCCAGGAAAAAAAAAACTACCAAACTCTCTGTTGTAAGTATATTTTATGATTTAGATACAGAAAATAACTTAAATGTCAGTATACGTAAGAACTAAAATAACCATTGTTGTGTCATTTTAGCCAAAATGTTCATGTTTAAAGAAATGTCATAAGTACTTATGGCATTAGTGAGCAATACAGCGTATGGAGTCATGAAATTGATTTTTCATAATTATTGATTTGAGAAAGGCGAACTTTTGAAAAATAAGGCTCTAAACAATGACTTCCATCAACAACTATGATTGAAAGGAGATTTACTTGGCAACACACTTATGGCGATTAAAAAATACGTTATATTGAATAAGTTTTAATGTATTATGTAAGATGTATTAATTTAAGTCTAATTTATACCGAGTATAATTCAGGGATACATAACTCTACTTTTTTTTTAAGAAATAACTTAACTATTATCGATTAGGGTAAAGAAATAACATAGCAATCAAACATCGAAGCATTACAATCATATAGTTTAATACTACACTAGTGTGAGACAAAGAACAAAAAAGCTCCATACAGGTGCTTTTGTCCGCTAACTCTGCAACCATGTAGACTTGTACTGTAGTGTGACTGCTCATGCAACTCGAAATGGGTCTGGTTTGACTAGCCATCGAAAAGGAATTATTAAATTTGTCGGATTTTCCAGTCACATGTAAGGAGTAGTGAATAAATTGTTCCGATTTCACCAGTCACCGGAAAGAAAGCAATCTGTGCAATTTCATCTTCCTGGATCAAGGGTGGGTTAGGAGGGGAGCGTTCAGCCTCTTTGATGTAGAAGAATCAAGATTCATGATTGATGAAAAAGCCGGTGCAAACCTCTTACTAGCACACAAGAATACTCGACCGGTGATGGCGGGGAAGGTATATCTAGCAAGCAACACTTCACCATCGAAAATAACACCTGGAGACAACGCTAGGAAATAAATGTATATGTAGAAAAGAAAATATTGATTGAATTGAATGAAACCTTTTTCATTATTGAAGCCAAAAGAGATTGAAAAAAAAGAGAAGAAAAGACAAAAAAAAAAGAGGAGGAGGAGGCTAGGGTTATCTCATCGATGGATACAAAACTACCCTATATACATGAAATGAAAAAAGAACAATTTCTCCCTAACACAGCCTACAATATGGTTGTGTAAGTATCAATTTGTAATTAATGACATAGCTTGTTCTTTATGTAATATGTAGTACAACGTATGACTACAACCAGGCGTCTTTGTCACTCTCCCTTTTAATTAATTAATTGTGGTTTCTTTTTATAATATGAAAATGTGCTTTGTTAAAAGTAATTTCATAAAAGTATAACTTTGCCACTCTAACACATATTCTATGATTGATTAAGATTATTGCTTAAAGTTTACCACCATTAATTATAAACTCAACAATGACAAACTTATATGGGATAGCGAGCATCCAAAATGAGATTAATATAAAAATAGACCACAAAAGCCACTTATATGTAAAGTATACATGTAATGATATGGATATGGAATGTTACTAAGTTCTACACTCTCCCAGTTCGATCAAGCACTAACTGTGATGTGTAATGTTACAGATTAAGGTTTTTTCACTTCAAGAGTTCAAGTTGTTTATATTTCAGACGTAAGCATGTTTAATAAATCAAAACAAAATTAGATAATAGTAAAGTACATATATATCAAACCAATCCCTACTAACTTAAATTGACCTGATCATAGTAGACTAGACTTATACAGAATATACCATATCAGAAAATTTTAGTTGAAGTAAAAGCAATCCTAAATAGCTAGGGATGGAATATTTTCGTAAAAGTGTAGGCTTCGTAAAGGTGTAGGCAACCACTTGAAGGAATGAACATGGCACATAATAAGTACTTAACGGAAAACTTTCAATCGATACAAAAAGGGTATGTAACCAATTGGTTGAGATCTAACTTCTTATAACAAAAAAAAAATCACATTAACAATTAGCCATAATAAATCCAAAATCCTGTTGTTTATTTTATGGAAATGCATTTCATAACAAGTTCATGAGTTCATAGTAAAAGAATATGATATTAAAAGATAATGATTTTCAAAAAAAAAATACAAAAGAAATTTTTTATTTTCTAATTTACCTCAGGCCCCCCTAAACCCCTCCCCCTGACGCCCCCTTGGGTAAAATCAAAAATCATTCCAGAACCAATTCAACAATACAATTATTAGAACAAGAATGATACATATCTTGATATGTTTACTATATGTTCATTGAGAACTAAATTGTTAGCAATGTGTAAAGGCACTTGACTATGACAATGGCGATGAGCCATATGAGAAGGAATATCTAACTCACCCAAATAAAGTGAAGCCCGGTGATTTCTAAGGCATTAGTGACCATGTCGCATTATAGCTCAGAATGATTCATAGACGTCTCAAAACGGAAATATGATGCCCAATCAGCATCACACTAAATATGGATCAGAGTAAATAGTTTTCAGAAAAGAGGACACTTTAATTAGGAGTTGGTTTGAGATAACAGACCACATGAAGGGATTTGGTCCAAACATATCAACTATCAAGTGAGAAAAAATGAGACAAGAAATTACTAGAATAATTGGTGTTGGGTTGTGTTATAGTGAGGTTAAATAGACACTAAACAATGCAACAATATCGTGTTAGGTATTAAAATGAGAGATATTGCATAGATAAAAATAAGATCAGAGATTACTAGAATAATTAGTGTTGGACCATGTTACAATGAGGTACAATAGATACCCATCAATTGTTAGGTTGAGAAAGGGTGTGCCATTCTCGAAAGCAAGACAGAGTTTGAATAAAATGAACTTTTGTTTATTTACAACAACAACATGAATGAGAACCTCAAACTACCTTAAGAGGGATGATGCATATAGACATATTTATGTAAGTCACCATGAATACAGAAATGGAGACGTCTAGCTGATATTTTGCCAACCTTTCATGACAAAAATAGAGAGGATAGTAAAGTTTCATAATGGAACAAAAGACTATAGTCTAATCAACTCTTACAAGTTTAGATTAACCCTTGGTAACACGACAAGTTATGATCTGTTTAATGAAGAAACGAGGGTTTATTCAAAAATTATTCCAGAACCAATTCAACAATACAATTATTAGAAATGAGGGCGGGGGGGGGGGGGGGGGGGGGGCAAAAAAAAATGAAGAAATGAGGGTTGTATTTTCTCTTTTAGATATGTAGCATTTTCTTTTTACTTATCTATCGTGAGACTCAAATTTTTTCCCTCAAATGGGAACCACACATGTCTTAAACTAATGTGTTGTTCACTTGTAATTTGATTAGTGAATCTAAAATCAAGAATGACGACTATAATGAAGGATATCACGAGTCATTTAACTTTTCCAGTATGCAAGGGGTTAAGATCCATTGATGTTAGGTAAGTATTACTCTAGTTAACTTTTGTATGCATAATTGGGTCATATACTACACGGTAGGCTAACGAACGGGTCACAAGTGTGAAGGTTGATTGAAAGTTAAGTGGAAGCAGTTTAAATATCATCTAAAAAGAATTGTGTAAAAGGAAAATGTAAACATTATTAATATTAAAAAGTAAAAATAATTGTAAATAATATCAGCTATTACCCATAAACCAACAATGATACATACTTTGAAAATGATTTTTACTTATACCAACATTTGGAATATAATACAAAAATAACAGGGAAAATGGAAACTGATAATCCAACGTTTTAACGGTCTTCTTACAATAGTCCCACCTTTTCGTTATTCATGAATAATCCAACCTTTGCACCTCATCTTCATTCACTGGTCCCTAACCGGTTGATGACGTGTTATTCCAAGTTATTTTCTTATCTTTGCAAACCATTATACCATAAATCTCACCTTTCACAAAGATAATATTTTGCAAAGATAAGAAAATAACTTGGAAAAGCGAGTCATTAACCGGTCATGGACCAACGAATGAAGATGAGGTGCAAAGGTTGAATTATTCTTGAATAACGAAAAGGTGAGACTATTGTAAGAAGATTGCTAAAAGGTTGGATTATTAGTTTCCATTTTCCCAAAATAATATGAAGTCACTTTTTGACAAGAAATCCAGTCATTTGAGAATTGAGACATCAAAGACAAATAACAAACCATCAAGTAAATGATGTTTGGAAATACAATCACTTATTGATATTTTGATATTAGGTTTTGATGAAATAAATGACCGATTTTTTTATGAAGAAATGCTCTACATCACTTTTGGTCTATATTTAAATAGTTGATATTATTAAAAGTTACTTCCAAAGTACGTATTATCCTTGGTTTATGGAACATAGTTTGTATGATTTAAAATAATTTTCCCTATTAAGAATAATGATCTTAAATATATCATACTAAATACCAAATTATCTCGTAAAGCGGCTGTAAGTCAAAGAATAAAAGAAAGAGAATGTAGTAATGTTAAAGTTATACAAGGATAAATAAATTTGGACAATTATTATTATTATTATTATTATTATTATTATTATTATTATTATTATTATTATTATTATTATTATTATTATTATTATTATTATTATTATTATTATTATTATTATTATTATTATTATTATTATTATTATTATTATTATTATTATTATTATTATTATTATTATTATTATTATTATTATTATTATTATTATTATTATTATTATTATTATTATTATTATTATTATTATTATTATTATTATTATTATTATTATTATTATTATTATTATTATTATTATTATTATTATTATTATTATTATTATTATTATTATTATTATTATTATTATTATTATTATTATTATTATTATTATTATTATTATTATT